TTTATGTTCTTGCTGAATTTCCATCTACTTAATCTATCAACTGTCGAGAGAAGGGTGTTGAAGCATCCAACCATAATTGTTGATTTGTCTGGCTCTCCTTTCAGTTCTTTTTCTTCTTCACATATTTTGCAGATCTGTGCTTAGTGCACACACTTAGAATTGCTACGTCTGTTTGGTGGGTTGGGCCTTTTCTCATTGGACATCTTTGTCTCTGATAATTTTTGCACTGAGGTCTACTTTGACATTAATACAATGAATCCTTTATTTTCATTAATTATTCACATGATATTTTTTTCTGTCCTTTTACTTTCGACCTGCCTATACAGTTGGTCCCTAACTTATGAGAATTCAACTGACAGTTTTTCAGCTTTACAATGATGTGAGTGATATGCACTCAGTAGAAACCGCACTTTGAGTGCCCAGACAACTATCCTGTTTTCACTTTCATACAGTATTCAATAAATTACATAAGATATTCCACACTTTATTATAAAATAGGCCTGTTAGATGATTTTGCCCACTATAGTCTAATGTAAGTGTTCTGAGCACGTTTAAGGTAGTAGGCTAGGCTAAGCTACGATTAATGTTTGATAGGTGTACTAAGCACATTTTGACTTTTATTTTCAACTTATGCTGGATTTATCAGGGCATAAGCTCATTATGCATATATTTAAGTTACTGTCTTTTTTTTTTTTTTTTTTTTGAGATAGGGCCTTGTTGTGTTGCCCAGGCTGGAGTGCAGTGGCATGATCTTGGCTCACTGCAGCCTCAGCCTCTCGAGTAGCTGGGATTACAGGCATGCACCACCGTGCCTGGCTAATTTTTGTATTTTTAGTAGAGAGAGGGTTTTGCCATATTGGCCAGGCTGATTTTGAACTCCTGACTTCAAGTGATACACCTGCCTCAGCTCCTAAAATGCTGACATTACAGGAGTGAGCCACTGCACCTGGCCAATCTTTATCCTTCAATTGGTTTATTTAGACCATTTACATTTAATATAAAGTTCACCATTTTACTTCTTGTCATCTGTTCTGTTTTTGATTTCTCTGTTTTTCCCAATCTGCTTTCCTATGGGTTATGTGTTTTCAGAATTCCATTTCGATTTGTCAATAGTGTGTTCCAATGTATCTCAGTATAGGTTGTTTTTTACTGGCTGTTCTTGGCACATCACTTATAGTCTACTGATGTCATTTTACCACTTCAAGTTTAGTATAGAAACCTTACCTCTGTGTCCATTTGCCCTCATCCATTTATAATTATCTTAAATACTTCCTCTACATAAACTTTGAACTACTTCAGACAGTTTTATAGCCTTTGCTTAACCATCAAACATGATTGGGAACTCAAGAGAAGGAAGGTCTATTGTGTTTACCTATGTTTCTTCTTTTCCTTTTTTTTGAGACAGAGTCTTGCTCTGTTGCCCAGGCTGGAGTGCAGTGGTGTGATCTCTGCTCACTGCAACCTCCTCCTCCCAGGTTCAAGCAATTCTTCTGCCTCAGCCTCCTGAGTAGCTGGGATTACAGGCGTATACCACCATACTCAAATTTTTTATTTTTGTAGAGATGAGGTTTCACCATGTTGGCCAGGCTGGCAATGTGTTATTATCTTTAGTTTTTGGAAATTTGACTTTGATGTGTTTAGATTTGAATTTCTTTGGGTTTTTCCTATTTAGGGTTCACTCGATTGATTCTGTAGGTTTGCGCCTTTTGCCAAAATTGGGAAGTTTTCAGTTCTTATTTCTCCAAGTACATTTTCGGCCCTAAAGCTCGCTCTCTCTTCCTCCTAGGACTTTGATGACATGAATTCTGCATCTTTTGTTACAGTCTCAGTCCCACAGATCCCTGAGGCTCTTGCTGTTTTTTCCCTTCTATGTCCTCTCTCTTGTTCCCATTGAGTACTTTCTATGTTTAAGTTTATTGATTCTTTCCTCTGTCCTTCCCATTCAGATGTTTAGTGTTTTATATCAGTTATTTTTTCACTTCTAAACTTTTCATTTGGTTCTTTAAAAAATCTTCTATTTCTTTGCTGAGGCTGTGTTTTTACCAGTTGTGTTCATAATTGCTTACTGAATGCCTTTTCGATGGCTGCATTCACACCTCTGTGAAGTCATTCTAATACCTCTCTTATGTTGGTGCTATCAACTGTCGACTGCCCTTTTTCAGCAGTTCAATGTCTTCCTGGTTCCTGCTACGACAAGTGATTTTTCCACTGAAAACCAAACATTTTGTGTATTAGGAGATTTTGGATCTTATTTCAACCTTCTGCTTTAGATGACTTCTTCTGACCGTCATGCTGGCAGAGAAGGGGGGTATTGCCTTGCTACAGCCAGGCTGGGGTAGAACTCCGGTGGATACATTGCGGGTATTCCTTGTTGATTGGGGGCATTCCTTGTTGACTGGGGTTTTCCTTGTTGCTTCGGGTAGGATGGGAGTCGTGGCTCCGCCCTAGGCCTCCATGACACTGTGGCGGGGGTGGCCTAGTCACCGCTGGGTGGTGGTGAAGGTCCTGACTTTCTGCTAGTCAGTATGTAATACCACTCCACAGAGGAGGAACCCCTCAGTACTGCCAGGGGTTGGGGGAGGCCAGGCTCCTCCTGTGGTCTCCACTGACACCACCACAGAAGCGGCGGGGGGAGGGTCCTTCCTACCCACTTAGATGAAAATCTCAGCTTCCTATTTGGCCTCCTCTGGCAGCACCCCAGCGAGGGGTGGTTACCCCTTACAGCCGTTTGGAGGAGCCCAGGCTGCCTCCCCCATGCCTTGCCGCTGTGGGTGGGGCCGTGGTTTTTTCTGTGGTGTTGGCTGGAGCGGTGATTATTTTCTGTAAATTTCCTGTCTTGCCAGGCTGCTCTTTTCTGGTCCTTCAGCGAGAGAGCAGATTTTTGGTGAGGTGTTTTTTTGTCTGTATCTGCTGGCATTACTGGGTTTCCAGTTTCCTCACCTCCAAGTCCAGAAAATGAGGCAGAAAGCAAGCCCAGGCAACACGGCCATTTTGGGGCTGGGGCTCCGTCCCGAGGGCCCTGCTGGTGGGCTCTTCTCTCACCTTCAGTCTTCCTGTTCTATATATAACGTCCAGCGATCCTGGTCGCCCTTAGTGGGAGGAACAGGGATAAGTGTCTGCTCCATCTTCCAGTTTTAAAGTCGATGACGAACTAAATGCAGGCCCACGGTTAGGCCATGGCCTGTCATGGTACCACCTGCTCCAGCTGCCAAACGCGTGTATCATGGAGACAGGGGAGAGGTGTGCTGTGTGGCAGTGTTCAATATTTCAGATGTTTTGAATGTTTTCCCTAAGCGTTAACTCATTACTGGCTCATATAAAATAGTTCCTGCGTTTCACACTTGGTTTTCACAGTATCCATCCTTTTAGGTACTTGGGGACCCATGGATGGACCTGAAACTGCTCTGACATGATTCCTTGTTTCAGCACCTCCTCGCTGAGAAGCAGACGATCCGACTGTGCGCTCCTCCCTCACGACCTGACGATGGCAAACCTTCCTCCAGGCCAGCTCCAGGGTCCCCAGGCACCGAGGAGGCCGCGATCTGGGGTGGGGGCTGAGGGGCTCTGAAGGCTGCTGAGATGGGGGCAGTAACAGAGAAGACCCATACTGAGCCTGGAAGGACGCGTTCTGGGGCCAGGTCCCCAGTGAGCCAGGAGGTGAACGTCTGCCTGTCCAGGCTCCAAGGTCTCGGGCTCCCAGGGCTGCTGGTGGACACATGGCAGGCAAGTTACCTGGGGCTTCACGCTAATTCACAGGAAGGTGGCCTGAGGGCGCCAGCTAGGAGGGCAGCCTCCCCACCAGAGGCTCTGGGATGGAGACTCCCCATGAGAAGGGAACCCCATCGCCCCTCTGCCCCAGCTCCCCGTAATACCAGTGCTGGGGAAGCAGCCCTGGAAGCATCGCTTGGCCAGGAGCACCCTGCCTGGGCTGCCAGACTCAGGGCCAAGCTGCTTCACTGCCTCTCTGGACCTCAGCGCCCCCTCTCACCCCTACCCTCCAGCTCCTCTGCTGGGGCCTCCAGACAGCTGTGAGCAACTCCAGAGGGTGCAGCTGTCCCGGCTCCCAAGTGTTCCTGGAGGGAAAATCCAGAGCTATGTTTTCCGTCAGAATTGGCGGCTGATGGTGCAGGGGAGGGGTAGGCAGTCCAGACTCTGTTCCTACAACCTCCAGGGGGCTGCTCAGTCCCAACCATGTGGGGCAGGGGATGCAAATACTTGTGAGAGTCGCCACCCAAGGTCTGGCCACGTGGGCGTCTCCAATCCCCCATGCTCTGCCCCACCCTGGACCCCACCCCACACTGTCCTCAGATCCCCTCCCGTACCCCAGTGGGGCCCCATCCCTGCCTCCTGCTCCTCTTTGGGAGGCCCTAGCTCTCCCCAAAACCTTGTCTTCTGGTCACAGTGCTCAGGGTCCTTGGCGTCTCCCCTGGTGGAGTCTGGAAAGGCAGCCCCGGTGTGGGGAGGAGGCTGACCTCCCCCGATGGCTGCCACCTCTGGCTCCCGAGAATCTCACCCCACAGGGCTCCCTCCTTGGGATGTCACCAAGTCCCTGCCCAGGGTGGGCCAGGCTGCAGGGCCCACAGGAATCCCCTGCCCAGTTCACCATGGGCCCTGGGGCTCCTGGAGTGAGGGCCCCGCCTGTCCTTCTTGCCTCTCCAGGCCAGGAGCAGAGCAGGCACCCGGAGGACGCCTCAACAAAGGTGTGAACCACGGCGCCCTGCCTGGCCAGGGACCTCGGCCGTGGCGTCCAGAGTAGCTGTCCTGGCTCCTCTCACCATGGCAGGTTTGGTTTGAGGTGGGCTATGAGGCAGGGGTGGGACCAGCCTTGATGCCAAGGCTGATGGGGGGGGCCCTTTTTGCTCCCAGCAGGCCCCACCTTCTGCCTCTGCAGGAGGGAAGGGGCACTTCCTGTAAACAGGTGGGGTGTGGGTACAGGTGGGTGGGACCCCAGCAGACACCTGGATTTGGGGGAGGCCCCTGAACAGCGGAGGGCGTCTTACCTGGGCGGGGGCCTGCTTGCGAAGGGGTTGTGTGCCAGCAGGGACAGGGCCTCAGCGTCGCTGGCCAGGAGCTTGCCAGCCAGGTGGAGGATCCAGTCATTGTGCTCGTAGGTCTGGGAGGAGAGGTCGGGCTGGAGATGGCTGCGCCACGCGCTGTCCAGGCACAGCCCCTCCAGATGCTCGGCCGTGCCCTCCACTCCCTCCCGCGCCAGCCTCTCTGTCTGTCCAGCAGCATGTGGTCCTGAGGCTTTCCTGGAGGTGGGTTCCCTGGGTGGTTGCACCCCAGTTCTTTGGCTGGGGTCCCCTTAAGGGGCCGCCTGCTTTGCATGCTCCTTGTAGCCCTGACCACTCATTACCAGGCTGGCCGCTGGCCTCACTCCCCTGCCTGGGCACACCGGAGCCGTCTGCCCCAGCTCCCCTCTGTCTGGGCCCTGCCTCCCTAAGGCTTAGTTTTCTGGTGCTGAATGGGACCAGGAGGACGAACAGCCAGCTCTGTCCCGGAGTGCCTCTGCTACCCAGCCCTGAGGATCCTTCCTTCCTGGCTTTTCTTTTTTTTGAGATGGCAGTCCTCGCTCTGTCGCCCAGGCTGGAGTGCAGTGGCCAGATCTCCGCTCACTGCGAGCTCCGCTACGGTTCGCGGTCATTCTCCTGCCTCAGCCTCCCGAACGCAAGCTGGACTACAGGTGCCCGCCACCTCACCCGGCTTATTTTTTTGTATTTTTAGTAGAGACGGGGTTTCACCGGGTTAGCCAGGATGGTCTCGATCTCCTGACCCGTGATCCGCCCGTCTTGGCCTCCCAATAGTGCTGGGATTACAGGCTTGAGCCACCCGCGCCCGGCCAACAGTTCCCTGACCAGGAACCGAACCTTCCTGTTTTCTGAGACAGGGTCTGGCTCTGTTCCCAGGCTCGAGTGCAATGGCGTCATGATTTGAGGCTGCAGCGAATGGGCTCAATCGATCCTTCTTCCTCCCACGTAGCTGAAACCACAGGCGCTGCCCTCACCTGCTGCTAATTCTGTATTCAGGGTCTCGCTATGGCACCCAGGCTGGGATTCCTGGCATGAGACCCTACCTGGCGGATCCTGGGGGACGCTGGGGCTGGGCCTGGATGTCGTGTGGGCTCAGTTCTCAGCTCAGGCAGGATCCCATCCCCCCAGCCTCCCTCTCCCCAAGCCCCTTCGGTGGGTGCTCTAGGAACCTGTCCTCTGAGGGCAGAAGAGGGCGGGGTACAGGCGGGTCCGTGCCCGCTGGGGATTGTCCCCCACCTGGAAGCTGGCGAACCACATAAGCCAGTCCAGGCGGTAGTGGTACGGGGAGATGAGGCAGGGCCGTCTGCTGGGGTCGCCTGGCTTGCACTTGAACTCGTAGTCCTCCCACACGGCGTCGGGGGCGCTGGCGCTGGGGCTGGCCGTGCCCTGCAGGATCACCTCCGTCCGCTCCTTGCTGATGCTGCCGGGAGACCGAGGCAGGCCGGCCCACATCACACACCGGCTGGGCTGAGTGGGGTGCATGGGGGTTCCCCAACTGACCATCCTGGCCCAGGTGGGGCCTACACCCCCACCTGCCTCCTGGTCAGGGGCTACTGCGAGGCTGGGTGGGGCTGGGGAGTCTCGGGGACTGGCCCCAGGGGCTCATTTGAGAGCACATTCCCTGCCCCTGAAGACCCGGCCACAGCTGGCATGTGCCGCATGCCCCTCGGCCGCTCGGGGTGGACACGAGGGGAAGAGGCCAGGGGCTGGCCCAGGGCAGGGAGAGCACCTGTGTTCAGGCAGCACTGCCCGGCATTCCCAGCCAGGGGGTCAGGGCCTGGTCGCCTCTTCCTTACGCCCCCAGTAGGCATTCCAGGGCCACAGCCCACCTGCCTGGTGACCTCGGGCCCTGCCCCTTTGCCTCATGGGACCAAGACAGAGGAGGCCTGCATGTCCAGGCCCGGTAATGGGGACAGCATGGCCTGTGCCTGGGTCACGCTGGGGTGGGGCAGGGGACACTTGGGGTCATGGGGGCCCACACTCCAACCCCGCCTGAATGTGGCTGCTCAGGGCTGAGTCTCCTCACATACCCAGCTCCGTACCCAGCTCCGGGAGACGGGGACCCCAGGCCCGTACCTTCCGAAGGCCCCATAAGTGTTCACAATGTGAAGAGAGTTGAAATGGGTGTTCATGACCTGTATGGGGCTCAGCAAGTTGAGGACCACGGGCACGCTGAGCCAGGCCAGCAGGATGCCCAGTGAGACGTTGGCTGCACGCCGCACCACAGAGCCTGGCAGGGGAGTGAGATCTTCCAGGTGGGGCTCCCAGTCGCCCCCTGGCCTGTCCCGGGGAGACCCCGGCCGCCGCCTGGCCTGTCCCGGGGAGACCCCAGCTGGTGCTCACTAAGGGTCAGCTGTCCAGGGTCCCGGGGACGGAGCAGCTGACGTCAGGCACCTTGTTCCCGGCAGGCTACACAGTGGACAGCACTGACTCACCTCCTACCCTGGCACCCCCAACCCACAGGGGCAGGCTGTAGGGCTGGCACCACCCAGCTTTCTCATGCCCGTGGGCACTGGGGCAGGGCCCCCCGGCTGAGCCACCTACCGAATCTGGGCTTGGGCCGGGCACCTCGGATTTCCCTCTGCATCTGTAGGACTCGGTCCTTCAGGCTGCCTGGCCCGGAGGGGAACAAGAACCCCAGGGTGGCGTCGTCGAAGCAGGCCAGGCTGGGCACCATGGTCAGCCAGTTCAGGAAGCTGAGGTTCCCGCTGACGATGAGGATGGCCTGTGGAGACGCTGCAGCTGAGCCTCGTGCAGGGCCCCTGGGGGGCTGGATCCTCCCTTCTTGGAGCAGGGGGGCCCTGCACCCAGCTTTGCCCTTGCCATCCCCCAGCCCTGGCATCACAACTGAAACCCAGCTGTGCCTTCATGGAGGGGACAGCAGACGCCTCCGAGGTGCCTTCTGACAGATGCTTCCAGAACGTTCCTCCCATGACTGCACGTTTCTGTGCAGGTTCTGTCCCTTGCTTTAGTGATGCGCAAGGTCTGGGGCTGGACCAGACCCTGTGCCCTCCTGGAACTCCTCACCTGCAAAGGGTGCCTGCCGGGGTCACGCCCGGGGAGGGGTGGCGTGTCCAAACAGAGGAGGCTGTGCTTGGAGAGTGGGTGCCGGGGACGCCCCTCAGCCGACAGGTGCCACGGACAACAGGGGGCCATGGGGGGCCACCAGTAACGCTCCCAGTCCAAAATACGAAGTGCAAGGAAGCGAGACACAGGCCCAGGCCCCTGTGCCCCAGAGATGGACAGCAGGAGAGGGGAGGGGCTGCATGCAGGGCTGGCCGGGCAGCACGGCCGGGAGGGCTCTGGGGAACGGTTCAGCAGCACCAGTGGGCAAAGCCGCGGCAGGAGGGACTCGGAGGGACCTGCTTCTGGACACCCCTGCAGGCCAGTGATCGTTAGGTGACGAAAGTGGAGATTGGGCCGCTGTCCCTGCAGCTCCATCAGGTGATGTCACAGGTGCCAAACCTCACCCTGGCCGTTGCCGCGGAGGCGTCAGGGAGACGGCGGCGGCTTGCGTGGCCAGTCACCCGGCATGGGTAATGGTCTGCGGCTGAGCTGGTGGACCCTGGGCGGGCAGGACCCGGGCGTGGCTCCCTCAGACGGCTCTGTTGGCCAGATTTGATGCACTAAAGCCCAGCCTTTGTCCCCATAACTGAGGAGGAGGGCTGAGGGCATGGACCCCAATGTCTAATAAGGGTCTTGCAGGGGCAGCCGCATCAGTTTTATAGATGATGACAGCGTTTTATGAACTGTGCATTCATGGTTCTCCCTGGGTTAATTTGGAAAAATACCTTTCCTGGTTCTGAGCCCCAAATGAACACTTTCTTATTCTCCACTGTCTACAATGTTACTAACCCCCTGTGCTAAAACCAGCCCCGCCTTGCCGTGCCTGGGGTTAGCCACTACTGCCAGCAGCTTCCCTGGCAGGCCAGACCCCCATGCCCTCTGTCCTGAGTGTGACCAGGGCTGGTCTGGGGCGGCGCAGGGCAGCTGGGAGCCCCTGAGCTCCCGTGACAGGGAGGGTGCAGGGCTGGGCACTGAGGTCTGGCCTTTGGACCCACTCTTTGGGGTGCTCTGGAGGGGGCGCCCCAGGTGACACTGGAATGTCCTGCCATCCATTCCTGGTGGGAGAAGCTCCAGCCTTTCCGGCCCTTCCCTGTGGTCAGCCTGACTGGCAGATGGGACCAAAGCGACCTGGGCCCAGCCTGAGCCAGAGCCCGTTCCGGGGCTCAGCCACGCCACAGCCATCAGGAGCTTTGAGTGGCTCCCAGTCCTGAGCCCCTGCCTGCGTTTGTCAGGGTGAGCTCCCCTGAGCCTATTTCCAAAGCCCCCCTGGGCCATCCTGATGGGAGCTCAGTGAGGAACTCTAGACTCAGGGAACTAGGGCTCCATGGAGCACAGATCTGGGTGTGAAATCCCGTTTCTAAGAAAGCTTCAGGGCTCGGGGACTCGGGCCTGCTCCGTGCGGAGGCGATCCCGCCGCGCAGCGTTCAGCTGCTCTGGTGCATCTCTCGCCCTCCATCTGGTCGGCTGTTTTGTTATGAAAACGCAGTTCCGTGTAGAGTGCACGGCCTGAGTGCTCCTGGGGGACCTAGTCTTCCTTGTTTTTCTTCTAGCATCACTGAGCCATCTCCTCAGAGGGAAATCAATCTGCTCAGAGCCCATCTGTGCTCGCCCCCGGCCGGCAGAGTCCTCACACGGCCGTGCAGCCCACAGATGGCCCAGCCGGTGGCTGGGAGCAGGGGCGGGGCCAGAGGGGTCCCCACGGCCGGCACAGGAAGAGGAGCTTGAGGTGATGGAATCCTGGGGCCAAGAGACGGAGCAGCAGGGGTTCTGAGGCCAGTGGCGCGTGGCCCCAAGAAAGAAGAGCGGGGGTTGGGGTCTCTGGATGCCTCTGGGGCCTCCCGCCTGTCAGCTGCCACGGAGAACAGGTGCGCTTGTGAGGACCCCCTGCTGAGGACACGCCGGCACTCACGGGGACCCTCCGCGGAAGACACGCCTGCTCGCAGGGACCCTCCGCGGACGACACGCCTGCGCTCACGAGGACCCTCTGCCGAGGAAATGTGTTGTGTTCCCAGGTGGGCACTCTGGTGGGCATGAACCCAGGTCTCTCTTCAGTGTCATGGAGAGAAGATGAGGGCGGAAGAACATGGAGAACATGGTGGGAGGTAGAGAATCTGCTGAGGTCTCAGAGTCTATGACAGCAGTGACCTAGAGCCCTGTGCCTGACACACACAAGCGCATCCGGCCTTGCAAAGCAATTGGATTTCAGCACGTGCCCCGGAAGGGACAGACCCAGGGTCCTGACGCTCAGGGAGGGAGGCTGGACACGAGGCCGCACATCGTCGGAGGCCAGCTGCACGGAACGTCCGGGCCCGGGAATCCAGAGATGACGCTCCCAGCAGCCCGGCGGCTGGGGGAGGTCCGGCGGGGGGTGTCGGGGGTGAGGGAAGTTCTGAACCAGGTGGAGTGGCGGCTGCGTCACTGTGAACACTCTGAACGTCCCCGAGTTCAATGCAAAAGCGTGAACTTTGCATTATCTGTGTTGTTTCATCACAACCACACACAGCTCGGGGCCCGTGAGCCCAGCTCCCTCCGGGACAGCCTCAGGATCGCCGGCCTGCGCACGGGGCTGACAGGGCCTCCGGGCCTCTGTCTTGAGGGGGCCTGAGGTGCAGCCACCACAGGGCAAGGAGCCCTTTGGGCGGAGTGGGTGGGGTGGGGCCGGACAGCCCGCTGTGAGCAGGCGCCTCAGAGGCTCCAGACCTGAGCTCACCCCCTGCCCCTCCCACCCTGGCAGCCCCAGGTGTGTCTCCCTGTCCCCAGTGCCCTGGTGGAGGCTGATGGCTCCCGTGGGTGCTGGCTGGGTGGCCGGGCTCTGCGGTCACTGCTCACGTGCACCTCTCCAGGCAGCAGTGGCCACAGGGCCCCGTGGAACTCTCCGGAACAGCTGTGTAAACTGCGCGTAGGAGGGGGGAGGCGGCTCATGCCTCAGCTCCCCAACGGAAGGAACACGGGAACACACGGACCCAGGACGCGCTCCAGGGAGGCAACGCTCAGAGGCGACCCTGGGTCTCGGGGCACTCGGCGGCCACAGGTGAGGGCGTGGCCCCGGCCAGGGCACTACAATGGTAGAGGGCGCGGGTCACTCTCAGTCCCACACCGCATCATCCCCCACACACCCTCTGCCCTGTATGCCTGTGGGGGCAAAAGCCCTAGTTGAAGACCCCACACTGCCTGTGAGGGGGCAGGACGCATCGCGGACGGGACAAGTGGCCGACCGTCCTCTCCTCTGAGGGGGACGCCAGGCCACGCTGCAGAGCACAGCCACCACCCCGGCTGCTTCCACCTCATCCTGGACACGGTGTGGGGCTGGAGAGGATGACACGGCCTGACCTCTGAGGCCTGGACGGGAGGCGCTGCCTGTGCTGGGTCTTTGGGGGTGGTGCTCAGAGGCCCAGGTTCAGTGAGACCCAGCTCTGTCCCCTCCCCTCCCAGCATCCCCACTGTCCACTGCCACTCCCCCCACCAGGCAGCGGACTCCAGAACTGGGCCAGCACTGGCACTGAGGGAACCCGCAGCCCCGCCGTCATGCCTGGGAGGGTCCCTGTCTGCCTGCACCGTGGCCTGTTAGTCCAATTCTCATCCGACCCCCTGGCCAGGTTCCTGCGTTCTGAATAAACAAGGATGTTTTTGAGGCCTCTGGTTCAAAGGTCACCTCCCCCATTCCATGTCATGGTAACTCACCCTCAAGTGACCTCCAACACTTTCTTGATTAAGTAACTCCAGCACCTTGCTGTTTCATGAGAGCTTCTCCCAGCCAGCATCAGCTTATTTGGAGAGGGCCAGTGGTGGAACCAGCCACCCACGCCTGAGGGAGGAAGCGAGGTACACGGGCCGTGGAAGCGGGAGGTGGATCCTGAGCACCCCCCACTGCCAGGCAACCACGGAGCCAGCAGGCCACACTCCACCTTGCCGTGTGTCCAGGGGTGCCCTTGGACGGCCTCCCAGAACCAGACTGAGCCTGGCCACAGGGCAGGCGAGCCTGGGGGCAGCGCAGCCCCACAGGCGGGGGTGACTGGGAGCTGGGCCCGGCATTCTGGGAGTCCGTCAGCCAGCCCTCTCTCGCAGCTGGGACCCAGGGACCGCCTTGCGCCCGAAGAACGGCTCAGGAGTCGCCCGTGTGTAGCGGCACCACCCAGCCGTTAGGCACTCCGGAATAGACCACTCCATTCAGGCTGGACACAACCTCCCTGGTGGCAGTGGGAACCAGGCGCTGAGCACAGTCAGCCCTGGCACACGCCTGTCTCAGCACACCT